ATCGGATGAGCGCTACAAGACATGGGCCAAAACAAAGGCTCACTACCTGAACAGATCACAATCGACCTTAGGCCCAGGGCCCAGATAAATCCTAATTCACATTAAGGTACATGCATTACATATACGAGACCTATACACCCACAAAGCCTAACTTTAGCATCAGAGTCTCTTTTGCAGGTACCACCCCCACTTCGAAACAGTTGACATACCCAGCGAAGGAAATTCACCAATTTTGTCCAGAAGATCGTTCCTCACGACCGATCTCTGGTAAGAATATAAAGCATTAAATACTTGAAGCTGTTTTAACATAGATTCAAAATTGTGGAGAAATAACCTCTCTTACAAGAAGTGACCATTAGAAATCAAAAAGATGACAACATAAAATTGAATTATTGGAGCTTCAGCGGGTATCATCGGACGGCTCTTTCTACCTATGGATCATGGATGGACCAACAACGGATGACATTTTGTCTCATATGATTTGGACTGTTTCGAACCGTTGGCGCCAATGGCGACATTAGTTTTTTTTTTTTTTTTTCCCAGAAAATCTAGGTAAATTTACTAAGGTTTGGACGGAGCTCAAAGTTTCATGAGTGTTTATAGAAATATTTACAAATTATTCATCAATAATATTTTTTCATGGGCAAAAATTGAATCCATATCTTTTAAAAATATGAGTTAGTTTTTACCCACTGAACTAATTTTTTTTTTTTTAAACAAAATTACATTGCAGTTGATGTTACGCTTGCCACACGCAAACCATGTCTTCCTAATGACGCCATTGCCAAAATGTTTCATAAGCAAACGTATCAATACATCGTGATAACAACTCCTTTGCTTTAGCTTTTGATAAATAATGTCATGTAAAATTTTTCAACTAAAACAAGAGTACTTTTCTAAATTGTCTATTCAATTAAAAGATAAGATACATAGAAAATAGAATGCTTCCCCTAGAGCATTATTGGCCCTCACGTACGTTGATTATGACATTTGATTTCTCAATTGACTTTCTGTCGCGCTACGACATTTAACACCACACGGCATTTTTTTTTTTACCAACATTGTCACACGCGACATTACAAATAAAATACTAAGATGATGAGATAAAACGGACAAATCGATGATATTTAACAACAACAAAAAAAAGTTTCCTCAATTTTTTTTTCAAGACACTTATAAAGTAAAAATAAAAAAATAAACAAAACATTTTAAAATGCTTGAATTACTTTACCTGGTCGTGGCAGAAGGCGCAGTCATAGTGTAAGAACACGAAAAGGTACAAACGCCCATTTACTTCATCAGCCGAGTCCTTCAAGACAGAGAAAAATGATATAAGACAATTGATCCACAAGGAAGCTAAGCCGATCACTCAGAGAAAGAGGAAAGTCAGAGGGGAGTGGGGCGACGCCATCGTAGCTGAGACACAGAAGTTGATGAACGCGGGCTTCATCTGCGAAGTCAGATACACCACGTGGCTGGAAAACATGGTACTGGTCAAGAAGAGCTCGGGGAAGTGGCGCATGTGCGTTGACTACACCGACCGCAACAAGGCGTGTCCCACAAACTCATACCCCTTACCGAGCATTGACAGGTTGGTTGACGGCGCTTCCAGCCATGCTCTCCTCATCTTCCTTGACGCATACTCGGGGTACAATCAGATCATGATGTACCCACCAGACGAGGAGCACACAACCTTCATCACCGAACACGCAAATTTCTGCTATCGCGTGATGCCTTTCGGCCTCTAGAACGCGGGAGATACTTATCAAAGGCTGATAGACAAAGTTTTTCACCAACAGATTGGTCGGAACATGGAAGTCTACGTCGATGACATGGTCGTCAAGACCACCTCAGCCGAGAATCATGCCGCCGACTTGGCCGAGGTGTTCAGCCAAATCAGAAAGCACAACATGCGCCTCAACCCATAGAAATGTGTGTTCGGCGTCCAAGGAGGTCAATTTCTGGGTTTTATGATCACCAGCAGGGATATTGAAGCCAACCCGGAGAAGTCAAAGCTATTATCCTAATGCAGAGCCCCCAGACTGTCAAGGACGTCCAACGCTTGGCAAGACGGTTAGTCTCTCTCTCCCGTTTCATCCCCAGGTTGGCAGAGAAAGCAGGACCCATCTTTACCCTGCTGCGGAAACCTAAGAACTTTGAGTGGACCGAACAATGCGAAGAAGCTTTCAAAAGCTTCAAAGTTTTCCTCACCACTCCACCAATCCTGTAGAGGCCGGATCATCACGCCAACCTACTCCTTTACCTGGTCGTGGCAGAAGGCGCAGTCATAGTGTAAGAACACGAAAAGGTACAAACGCCCATTTACTTCATCAGCCGAGTCCTTCAAGACAGAGAAAAATGATATAAGACAATTGAGAAGCTTGCACTAGCACTCGTCACCGCAGCTCGATGCCTCTGACCGTACTTTCAAAGTCACCAGGTGGTCGTCAAAATCGACTACCCGATCAAGCAAATCTTGAGAAAGCCGGAGCTCGCCGGACGCATTATAGCATGGTCAGTAGAGCTGTCCGAGTTTCGCATCCAATATGAAAGCCGCAGCCCCTTAAAAGCTCAATGCCTGGCAGATTTCGTGGCCGAACTCACCCCAACCTCGGCTGAAGAACAACAGGTATGGACTTTACACGTTGATGGAGCCTCGAATTCTAAAGGTGGTGATGCAGGTATCATTTCTGAGGGAAAGGCTTTGAATTTTGCTCTCAATTTTTTTTGGTAGTTTCTAATGATTTTAGGATGATATTGGTTCATTGACCTAGAATAGATTTCCAAAAAAAGGTCGTTTACTATTTCTTTTCTAATTTTGAAGTTTTCTTTCCTATTTTTCCAAACATTTGATAGGTAGTTCTTATAGTTAGGCATTGAAGTTTGCTCTCAAATTTTATGCAGTAGTTTCTAATGATTTTAGGATGATATTGGTCCTTTGGCCCGGAATAGATTTCCAAAAGAAAGGCCTTTTACTATTTCTTTTCTAATTTTGAAGTTTTATTTCCTATTTTTCAAAATTTGGATAGGTAGTTCTTATAGTTAGGCCTTGAATTTTGCTCTCAATTTTTTTTTTGGTTGTTTCTAATGATTTTAGGACTATATTGGTCCATTGGCCCGGAATAGATTTCCAAAAAAAGGCCGTTTACTATTTCTTCTCTAATTTTGAAGTTTTATTTCCTATTTTTCCAAACTTTTGATAGGTAATTCTTATAGTTAATCTTTGAATTTTGCTCTCAATTTTTTTGTGGTAGTTTCTAATGATTTTAGGATGATATTGGTCCATTGGCCGGAATAGATTTCAAAAAAAGGCCGTTTACTATTTCTTTTCTAATTTTGAAATTTTATTTCTTATTTTCCCAAATTTTTGATAGGTAGTTCTTATAGTTAGGCATTGAAGTTTGCTCTCAAATTTTTTGCAGTAGTTTTTAATGATTTTACGATGATATTGGTCCATTGGCTCGGAATGGATTTCTAAAATAAAGGCCTTTTACAAATTCTTTTCTAATTTTGTAGTTTTATTTCCTATTTTTCAAAACTTTCGATAGGTAGTTCTTATAGTTAGGCTTTGAATTTTGCTCTCAATTTTTGTGTGGTTGTTTCTAACGATTTTAGGATGATATTGATCCATTGGCCCAGAATAGATTTCCAAAAGAAAGCCGTTTACTATTTCTTTTCTAATTTTGAAGTTTTATTTCCTATTTTTCAAACTTTGGATAGGTAGTTCTTATAGTTAGGCTTTGAATTTTGCTCTCAATTTTTTTTTGGTAGTTTCTAATGATTTTAGGATGATATTGGTCCATTGGCCCAGAATAGATTTCCAAAAAAAGGCCGTTAACTATTATATATATATATAATATTACTATTTAGTATGAAATTCATAAGTATGAGAAGGTATACATATTAAAAGACAACAGTAATATAGCGTCATCATTCAAGTGAGAAAATTTAATAAAATTATCTTCTAGAACACATCAATTTATATACTTTAGACAACTATTTTACGTACGTGTATATCATTGTTTAAAAAAGAATGAAATACTATATTGATATCGATTAACATGCATAATAAAGTAAACAAGTATAATAATAAAACATAAGATACCATCTTTTTACTCTGTTAATCCTAAGTAATTAAGGAAATAAATCTTAATATAACAAATAAATACGGAAATAATATTAAAATATAATCTAAAATATTTTTAAGTAGATAATTTATTATTTCATATTTTCTACAAAATATTAAACTTTTGATTTTTAAATTCCTCAAAAGTATTTGTTGTTTTCTTGAATAATATTTTTTAAAAAAATATAATTGAGGTGTACCACGAAGGCGACAACAACTTTTGTCTAACTGTAATTCTAATAATAACTGTTTTACTTTGCTAAAAAAATTATAACAATAACTACTGAAGATACACACTGTAACACTTGTATTTCCATCATGAATACCACAAAAAGAAAAAAAAATTGTGTTTCCATATTTCTTATTTTTTTAATTAGATGATAAGTAAAAAAATTATATGTTGAATAAAAAATAATATTGCTTTTACTGTTATAGATAATAATCCCCTATAATTGGAAGCATTAATTTCTTATGATGGTGCTGGGATGAATATTTTCCAGTTGTAGCCAGTGTTTTGCAACAAGAGATGAAGAAGAAAAACCATACCACAGTCTGCAAATACTATTAAGAGAAAGAACACATCAAATAAAAGATGAATTTTCTTTTTAAATAAACTGCCATGTTTGAAAATTAGCAGAGAGTGGACCTTTTATTGTTTGTGTGACAAGGTAGGCTCCACTAACTGTTCACCCTTGACCCTTTCCCGTTATTTTCCTCCTTCTAAATTTAGCTCCAACTTTTTCTCCCTCAGTTTATTTTTGCAGAATCTAATTTTAATTTTCATTCTCTTTCCTCCCCAAAAAATTTTCACTCATCATTAATATCTCCTAAATCTCAATCAATACTTTTGTTTCTGCTTAATCAGGGTACCTTCCTCTCCCTCATGTTCTCTTTCTGCTTTTCCTTTTTCAACACGTTATTTCTTACATCTGTTTTGTTCCTCGCCCTCTTGAATTCCTCCTTATGAAGTCCTATAATCATAATAATTTTTCTGGTTTGCAAAGTTTGGATTATAATTTATGATTTATAGGTGGGGTTGTATATAATTATTTTCCATATGATATGATATGATATGATATGATATGATATGATATGATATGGTATCTCTTGCCTTTTCCATAAGTTTTTGTGTGTTTTTCTCCATTGATATCTACATATATCAGGAGAATTTTCAACAACCTAGTTAAAGATTGGAGGAACATGTCCACTTGTTGTTACCTGGTATGGTTAACAAATGAAAGCCAACATATTTGCCTTCAAAAGGTTAGCCAGTACAAATGGTTTGATGTAAAGATTAACCTGGCTTCCAATACAGAGATATGAACTTGCTTTTCTATAATTGTATCAGATGTATGGTATTAACAATTTATTGCTTAAAATATTAATTTTGAAGTACCTAGATTTTGTTTACGTGATTGTAATTTTGATTTCAATGTCAACGTGTATGTGGAGGGGAGGGACTTTAGCTTTTCATGCATCATAAGATTCTGTATTTCTTTCATTGATTGATGTTCAAGCACTATATAATTATTCTTTAGAATGTTTTGTTTGACGTATGTGATTCAATTTTGGCTTATTTTTGGGGGAAATTAGAATTCTCCATAAAGAAGTTTCTATCTGTCCTCTGATCAATGTGAAAAGTTAAAACGTAATAAAGAGCATCATTTAGTGTTTCAGGCAATTTGCATAAACCTTGATCTAATTTCTTCTAACATTGCAATATATGTGATGGGTGTGAAAAAATGAAATGATATTATATGGAAATCAATTATCATTTTACTACATGTTGTTGGCTGTTGTCATCCCTCTTAAATTTGAAACGTCTACATGAATTGCTTTTATACAACAACTTTCATTTTTTCACTGATTGATTGTCTTTATTGTTTGCCTTTTAGATATCTTTAGCACTTCCAATTGCTCTTACAAATGGAGGATGCTGAAGACAAGCCATCCTCAGAATCAGAAACCTCTTCAACAAGTGCTGAACTGAGGCCACAAGCAGAAACCCCTGAAGAGAATACTGCTATGATAAATCCACCCGATAGCCAGTCTTCCATTGAAGCTGCCACCAATCAACTCAGTAATAATAGTAGAGTGGAACCTGGCACTCATTTTCCAGGAACTAAGTTCTCAGACTTAGAAGAGTCCCTAAAAGCTTCTGATGGTCAAACTGTAGGACAGGATGAATATCATCACACTGATAATGATAATCCATCTTCTACTCCTAAAGCCACAATTCATGATACAGAACAAAGCCACCACATGGTATCACATCCCGAATCAGGAGCTTTAGAAGATGTCTTTAACAGGCAGCAGGATGGTGTTTCTACCACCACTGGTACCGATGATGTTGATAATTCAATGAATCTCTCACCTTCCTCTTCTGAAACAACAGAGTTGCAGACTAATCCCACAGAACGAATAACAGACCCACCTCAAACCAAGGTTAATGATGTTCATGTTCCCATAGATAATTCAGCTTCAACACCAAATGTTAGTGTTCATGTAATAGAACAAAGCAACCAGGGAGGGATGTCTGCAGATTCTGAATCTCAAGCTTTAGAAGATATCTCAAACGGGCAGCAGGATGGTGGTTCTACTCTCAGTGCTGGAAGTAATGTTGGTAATCAGATGGAACTCTCAAATTCCCCTTCTGTGGAAAAAGAGTTGCAGAATGACCACAAAGAACTAATGGTAGATCCATCTCAAACAATGGATATTGATGCTGCTGAGAGAGTTGTTGGATCACCTGCTGGCACTGCTAGCAATGATGATGATAATCAGATGAAACTCTTGGCTTCCTCTTCAGAAAAAATAGATTTGGAAAAGGATCAGAAAAAACCAATAATTGATCCATCTCAAACCACGGATACTGATGCTGCAGAGCTAGCTGTTGGTTCACCTGCTGGCAAGGATGATGATAATCAGATAGAACTCTTGGCTTCCTCTTCTGAAAAGACGGATTTGCCAAGTGATCACAAAGAACTTAAGATAGAACTGCCTCAAACGGAAATTGATGATGTGTCTGTCGAAGCTGTTGACTTACCTTCTGTCAGTGATGATAATCAGATAAAACTATTGGCGTCCTCTTCTGAAAATGTAGAGTTCCAGAATGACCAGAAAGAACTAACGACAGATCCGTCTCGCAATATTAATGATGTTGTTGTGGGAGCTGTTGACTCACCTACTTATGCCAAGCAGATTGCTGAAAAAAGAGGCCTTATTGATACAGCAGCTCCATTTGAATCTGTCAAGGAAGCTGTTTCCAAGTTTGGAGGCATTGTGGACTGGAAGGCTCATAGAATCCAGACCGTGGAGGTATATCTGTCTTGCATTTATTTCATTTTACCTAAAGTTTTGTAACTCTATTACTTTACTTCTTCATGAGGCCAGAATTCTTTTGGATGTTTTGAATGCATTTTAAAGACAAGCCAATTATTCATTAGAAGATAGGTTATTAGGAAAATGCTGAGATATGAGAAAAAGGATGAGAACAACAACCTTCATTACTATTTTTATTATAAACTGCAGTTATAAATGTTAAGAAGCAATAACCAATGCTTAAATGTTGCTTTGGTGGCTATTTTCTTGTCAATATTAATGATAACAACGCAAAACTCATTATCTGTTGAGCCAAGCCACAGCTTCATATCCCAAATCATACCTTTTGGGATGACTTGAAGAGTACATTCTCTTTCCC